AACAACTTACAATCTGAAGAAGTCACTCTCCCTCTGTTTTCTCTGTCTCTAAAGTAAATAGAGGGCAACACGCTTAAGAACAGAAATCAATCGGTGTTCTGAAGAAAAAGGATGTGTGCGGGCAGGGGTGGCAGCTCCATGTTAGACCGACATGTACTCCTCTGTTCTGATGATGCTGGAGACAGTGAGACCTGTCCCGTCTCACCTGTCAGCCCTACAGGGCACCCTGCTCCACCTCGCCTGCTAGCTCTGTAGTGACACCTCTCGCCTTACCTCCAAGCACCTCTGTCTGCTCTCCTGCTCTCCTGGGCTGGTGTTCCAAGGCATGTCCAGGTGAGTCATTTCTGTTGAAGCATTCCTTCTGGAAAGATCCAAGGTTTCTGTTTTGGACAAAACGAGCTCCGTGTTCCTGTTTTACCCTCCCCCAAAGTCCACGCTACAGGCAGGCCCTGGTCTCACACCCTAGGGCCTTTGCCCGAGCTGTGTGTCTAGTATCAGCTATTTTCTGACCTCCAGACTTCGAGCTCCTTTAAGACCAGTCTTGGTTGTTCCTGATCCCCCACCATGTGAAAGCATCTACCCAGAGACAAACACGGGGACACGAGTACATGTGCAAGCCGAAGGGTGGAAATCCCCCCACAGATGTGATTCCGCATGTTCAGCACGTCCCATCCTGGGAACAGCTCAGTCTGTGCTGATGTCCATAGTGGGGCCAGGATGTACTCACCTCCTTGCAGAAGACCATGTAAACTAGGTACCTCACCCAAGCCACAGAACCCAGGTTGCTCCCCAGCATGGAATCGGAGGGTCATACTGAGACTTGGGGTATTGGGAGCCTCCACCTGAAAGGAGCAGGACAGTTTCTGGGAGTGGTGGGAGTGTCAACAATTTTTTGAAATTGATTTTTATTGAGCTCTACATTTTTCTCTGCTCCCCTCCCTGCCTCTCCTCTCCCCGCTTCTACATGTGATAATTGTTTTTCTGGGTCTGGGTTACCTCACTGTGTCAAGGATTTTTATATAGGGAAAAAGTTTTATGCTTTTGAACATTGACTCCAAGACATGACTCCCACTTGTGTGGCCTCTCCAGCCCTCTCTGTGGGAGGAAAAGAAATAGCCAAAAGTCTTGGAATTTAGCCCAGCTGGTTGAGTGCTTACTTAGCATGTACACAACTTTGAGTTTGACCTAATAGACTGGACATATTGGCATACACCTATAATCCCAGCACCCTGGAGGTTGAGGCAGGAGGATCAGAAATTCAGTCACCTTCAACTACATAACAAGTTCAAGACCAGCTTGGGCTACATGAACCCTTGTCTCAACAATAACATAAGGGGTAACCAAGGGCGTTGCTGCTGTCCAGCTTCATGGAGTCTCAGGCCATGTGCCATAGAACAGGAGGGCCTTAGGCAGAGCCCTCTCCTCAGTCCCTGGGCTGTTGCACGTTCCTTGGGCTCTTAGGAGACTCCAGCTGGGTACTCTGTGCATCCCTCAGAGGTTAGAAGCCCTGACTCTACAGCCTGCTGGTGACTGTAGGGCAGAAACGGTGCCCGTGCACACGTTTCCTGCTCACCGGACTGAGTCCCTGTCCTGACCACTGCAGCAGGAAGGCTCCATCTCTGTGGGTGGCCCAGGACCTATGTTTCAAGGATGCCAGTGGCTTTATCCACTTTTAAATACAGCTTCAGTGTCGCCTTGATGGCGAGGTCTTCTCTGGCCTGCCCATTTCATGTCACAACCCTCACCCTGGCTCTGCATGGCCTCTGTTCTCCCTTGCTCTCCTGGGCTCTGACAGCAGGTACTATGAGCCTGCTTCATCCAACCCCTCTCTCACCCCACTGGAACATAAGCCCTGAGCACAGGTGTCACTCGCCGGAGCGGGCTGGTGTGCAGTAGGTGCTCACACACATTCAGGACACAATTCCTGGAGCAGGGGGACAGTCCACTCAGCAAAACGCTTACTGTGTAAGTATGAGGACCTGAGTTCATATCCAAGAACCGACGTAAAGAGCATGCATGGGGGGCTGAGAGATGGCTCAGAGGTTAAGAGCACTGACTGTTCTTCCAGAGGTTCTGAGTTCAATTCCCAGCAACCACATGGTGGCTCACAACCATCTATGATGAGATTTGGTGCCCTCTTCTGGCCTGCAGGGATCCATGTAGGCAGATGCTGTATACATAATTAATAAATAAATCTTTAAAAATAAAAAAAGACCATGTATGGATGCACACATCTGTGACCACAGTGCTGCTGGGGCGGGGGTAGGCAAGACAAGTGAGACAGGCGGATATCCAAGATATGAGAGAGCCCATCCCAAAATAAGGCGAACAAGGACGTCTTCTCCCCTTGCCCCCACAATACACCCTACACCCACAGTTACAGCGTGAATGTCTGTCCACAGAGAACGACTCTTCAAAGGGGATAAACCACTTGCCAGGCACCAGGAAGGTAGACGAGCCACACTGTTTCTTCTCACTGACTTCTGTTGCTCTGGAATCAGACCCGTGTTCCTCTCACCACAAGCCCCTGCCAACCCGCTCCCCCTCGCCTCCTCAGCACCCCTAGACTAGTCTTCACTGGCTTGGGTTCTTCCCTACTGGAAGGCTTCGGAGCCTTTGCACCTTCCATCCTCTACTGCCCATGACTGTACCCCAAGATAGGCTTGTGCAGATTGACCTCAGTTCTAAAGCTCCTCTCCTTAGGGTCCCATCTAGCCCGGCCCACTCCCCTAATTTCCAGCTACCACAGTTTCCATATTTCCAGTTTTTCATGTTTCCATCTGTACTGTCTGAAAAGTCTTATCTACCGGTAGAACCAGTTTGCCAGGGAATCTAGCCCCGTGGGCTCAATACCCAAGCCCTGAGCCTTCTCTATCCAGCCCTGAGCCTTCTCTATCCATTAAACCCAGCCTGCTTTCCCTTCCTGCTGCGTTCACCAAGGCTCCTCCGCGTGGTCAGGCACGCTCGCTCATTATGCCTTAGATCAGCCAATTTGAAGCTTGTGAGTCTGTTCAAATCTCTTCCCAGGAAGGGGAGGGAAACGTGCACTCTTTCTTTCTCTCTCTGGGGTGCCATGGAAGGAGTGGCACACTCCCCAAGGGCCCCTCTCGGTTTGGTTTTGTCTGCTGTATTCTCTGTGGGTTTGGTGCATCTGTGCCCTTCAGTGGTGGGAGGCAGCCATGACCCTTCCAGCTGTCAGCTGAACAGTCCCCCTGCCCCTTTCCAGGTAGGACACAGCTTATGCTCAGGGCCACCTGGCTTACACATAGCCCCTTTCCAAATGTCTCCATCAGAACTCTCTGCAAGGTCCCTCGTGTTCTTGGAAGCAGATGCCTCCCCATGAGTCCCCAGAGAGGCAAACCAACTGCAGGGACACTTCCCGGGCTCCTGCAAGGGCACCAGCACCTAGCCTTCAGTTGGCACCAGCTCTGCAGCCTCTCTGGCCTCCAGCTGGGGAGCCCAGTGCCAGGATCTCTTACTGGCAGTGTCCTTAGCTGCAGCGCTCTCCGGAGGACTTCCCTCACTAGGTTCCGAGGATGAAGAGATGTGGCATCATTAATTCTACTTTGGTCACCTTGATCTCACAGGAGGGTAGAGTGGGGAGCAGAGGGGTCAGAGGTGGCTGAGGGCAGCCACTGAGACAAGTGACCTTTAGACATGGTCTCTGTGGCACAGGATCTCAGGGCTAGATTCAGGGGCCCCATGAACAAGTTTTAGGAAGATGGAAAATGCTTCCTGTATTTTTTTTTTTTTTGGTTGTACACTGAGGACCTGCCGTAGCCTGGATTGCTAGACTCTAGACATGTGCCTGGCCTGCAGTCGACTCTCAGTTGTGGTGTTTTGAAGAGATGCAGTTGCCAGCCTGTAGTGGTCACAGCTGGTGCACGCAAAGGAGTCAGGGCATGAGGAACGGAGATGTGAGGGTTTGGTGCTGGCTGCTGCTCTGTACCTGGATGCCCTGCACACAGTTGTCTCTCCTTCCTGTGACCTTGGCAAGCAGCCTGACCTTCACCCTCTGCAGGCAGTGTGGCCTCCACAGCTCCTGCCAAGCTCAGGGGGAGGGAGGAGGGGAGTGGGGGAGCTGCTGGCTCTGAAGTTGAGCGTTCTGGCTCTGCTGCCCCTTGGCTGAGCTTAATTTTCTCCTTCCAGCTTGTCATTTGTAAAAGTGGGGTATTAACAGACTCCATGCTCTAAGGACAGAATTGGTGGGTACATGTAATACGCTTAGCCCATGGAGAGACGTGGTGGGTCACCAACCGTAACCAGAGCTATTCCATCATGGCCATTTTCACAAGGACACAGCAGGGGCTGTATGCCCCTAGTTGATAAAAGAGGCTCTCCCAAAATACGGGGACAGGGGGTGACAAAGTCCTGTGGGCCAGGGGGTCACCGAGAAGTGGGGGATCCCCAGGAAACAGTGACAATTCTAGGAGGCCTCAGGGGCCAGACTGTAGCCATAGCCCTGGTGTGGACAGGCCTTCATCAGGGAGCGAAAGGATGAAGTGGTATTTCAGAAGAATGAATGTGGGCACTAACAGCGTGGAAAGTGGTCCAGCTCAATGCAGAGGGAGGCACAGCTGCCCAGCTTCTGAGTGGAGAAGTGGCTATTACAGGAAGTGGCCAGCTCTCAGGTGTCTGTGTACTAGGTTCCCAGCAGCATAATTGGGAGAGGTGGCTGAACCCCAAGCTGAGCAGTGGGCAGAAGGGGTCACTGTTTTCCTTGGAACAGTAGTCCCCTCAAGGAAGCGTGGTACCTGGAGATTCTCCAGTCAGGGGTGCTTTGTGTTCCGGTGCTGCGGTAGCTCACAGGTACTGCGGTAGCTCACAGGTACTACCAAACCAGCCTAGGGTTTGCCTTCTCTACTGACTGCTTATAGGGGACCTGCAGAGCAGGGAGACCCTGTACGCGGAGGGCAGAAACGGGCCAGGGGTGCCCTGTCACTGGCCAGTGCAGCAGTGGGTAAAGGCCTAGCCCCAACTAAGAACAGAAGCAGCCGCTATTCATTTTCCTCATTTTATTGAAAGCTGAGGTGGATATTTGAGAAGAACCAGGCCAAGTCCATCTTCTGTGTTCTGGAGAGATGAAGGTTTGCTGGGCTCACAGCAGCCCAGCCCAGCCATTCCTGTGGGACAGTCCACTCTACCCTCACACCAGGGTATGGAACATGTCCACCTTCTCCCGGTATAGCTGGTGGAACTGCTTGGCCAGACAGTGGAATGGGGCCTCATAATTGTCCATATCCTTCTGTAAGAATTGAGAGGGGTGTGAGTTTAGTCTGGGGAAGCTGGCCCCTACTCGAGGTATCTCTCCCTTCGGGCTCCTGACACCTGGTGTCGGGGACAGCTGCCGTCACAGTGAAGATTTATGGGGAAACAAAGCTAAAAGGAACACAGTGATAGTTGCGTGGCATGTGAGCGGTGGAGCCAGGGTCGGGGCTGAGGTCTATCTGTAGAGCCATCCTTGTGGCCACTAGGTTCTGTGTGGAGGACAAGAAGGTGAATCCACTTACTTAGCTCTGACAGAGGTTCAAAGGTCAAAGCAAAACAGCAGACAGATGTGTTCTAGGAGAGAGTCTGCCCACAGCCGCTCCAGGTGGGAAGAGGAGGGCTACAAAGGCAACAGCACACAGCCCAGCCAGGAGAGGCACAGCACACGCAAACCCCTACCCGAGATGCCAGGCTGCAGCAGGGACATTCTACTCCAGGGACCGGCAGGGCCATGGGGAGAAAGGGGACGTGATGGGGACACAGGGCCAAATGGGATCAGTTTTGTTTTTTAAGGAATATGTTGGGACTTCTGGGATAGTGCCAGATCCCAACAAGAACACATGGCTCCTCCCCCGGGGATGGGGAGGCGCAGAGATGGCTCTAGGCTGGAGGGTTAACATTTTTCCTCACCCCTGAGCCCTGGGTAGCGCTGACTGAGCGGGAAATGAATGCTCACTTTTCGTGACTAAAGGTGCCCAAAAGACATTTCTATTTTCTAGAGGAGTGGAAAAACGAAGGAGCTTGTCTTAGGTTACAGTGACAGGCCCTCCAAGGGGAGGTCATAGAGGCCATCAGAAGGAAGGGCATGGTCCTGACACCATGGCCACCAACCACCTGCAATGCAGGTGCCTGTTTGTTTGCTTGCTTTTGTCTTTCCTGTTTCCGAGTTGTTTTTTGTTTGTTTGTTTGTTTTTTTGTTTTTTTGTTTTTTAAACTGGACCTACTGTTGCAACACCAGGGGACCCAAACACAGAAACCTGTCTCTCAGACAACTTTTATATGTTTTGTGAGCTCCTTAGCTTGAGCAGGCCTCAAACTCACTATAGCCAAGGCTGACCTTGCATTTCTGATCTCCCTGCTTCTACCTCTGGAGTTTGGGGATTATAAGGTGTTCAATAGTGCTAATTCAGAGTGCCATGCACTAGATAAACACTTTCCTGAGTTACATCCCTAGTCACCACCACTATCATCACCACCATCATCACCATCATCATCACCACCATCATCACCACCACCATCATCACCACCATCATCACCACCACCATCATCACCACCACCATCATCACCATCATCACCACCATCATCACCATCATCACCACCACCAGTATCATCACCACCAGCATCATCATCAGCATTATCATCAGTCTAAGATAGGGTCTTGCTATGCAGTCCATGCTGGCCTTAAATACTTTATCTTCCCACTTCAGTCTCCAAAGCGGTAGAATTACAGGTACACACCACCACACCATCTAGGTATTTTTAAAAACAAAGTGGCAGAGAGAACCCACCACACTGCAGACAGGAGATGCAGCTAAGAGCGTACAAGGGCCTGTTGGAAAGCTTTTCAGTGGCTGTCAAAGGCACAGCAGAGCGTAATATGAGGTCCTGAAGTGTCCCTGATGGAATGGGAGGAATATCACAGAAGCTGGCGTGTCTGCACTTTACAGAGGAGTGATAAAACCAGAGGATGGAGTGGCCCAGCTGGACAGTGTGTCCTGATCTCAGGCTGGAGAGAACCATACCAGTCCTGGGGAGAGAGCTGCCTGGATCCCACAGTGAGGGAGAAGCAAGTGCAATTAGGGGGAGCTTCTGGCCAAGAAAAACCAGGGCTCAATGCCAAGAGTGTGCTGGGAGCCCAGCAAGCACCTGCTAAGGCCCCCACAGGCATGAGAGCCGAGTCAGTCTCACCTCTGCTTGTGTGGCCATCGTGTCCCAGGCAGTCAATGTCACTGAATAACACCCCCAAAGTGTCCTTAAGTGCCGAGTGGAGGGAGGGAGGCCTAGGAAGTCTTAAGGGAGGGCTTCTAGCCGAAGTCAGAAAAGCTCTCCAAAGCACAAGCCGGAAGAGCCCATCATAAAACTTAAGGAATTCAATGCCCAGGAGCCTCGGCAGACACCATAGAGTGCTTGGAAGTAGATGGAAATTGAACTATTTTCCAAATGCATTAAGGGGGCTGCCAGCAACAGAGGCCCTTTTAGCCAATGACTGATTATCATCTTGCTCAGTTTGGACACTGACAGAGCAGGCTGTTGAGAGATGACGTCTGGGGTAGGCCCAGACTAGCCCTTGGTTTGACTTAGAATTGTCACCAAGAGCCTGCAAACAGGTCCCGTGAGGAGGTCAAGGGTGCGTACTCCTTCTGGAAGACCTGAAGCGCTCACGTCTCCCTGGACAGGGCTGCGTCCTGGTCTTAGTGCTATTCTTCCTTAGCTGTGCAAAGGAGGAGAGAAACATAACCTCTCTGGTCTGTCTGCTAACTGAACAACAGAGACAGGAGCAGTTGCCTTTGTTGGGCACCTCCAGAACACAAAAGGTAATTTACACAATCAAATGGCAGGCAGGCCCTCAGCTGCCTGGGGGGGTGCTCCCCTCAACAGAGACATGAACTTGGCCTTGCCCTTGCATTCTATGCATAATCTCGCCTCAGCGATAAACAACGGGTTTGATTTTGGTCTAGAAAATTCTTTAATCTTTGTTCAAACAAGTTCTTTTTGACTTTGGGGGGGGGGCTGAAATGCCAGACATGGAGGGGTGTTTAAGAGCCAAAGAGCCATGGAGGTTTCTCCTCGAGGCTGCTGCACTTCTGAAGAAGTGAGGAGGAGATGGGCTTGGCAGCATCTCAACCACATTGGGTTATGTTCCCTTTTTAATTACAGCTTTCTTAACCGATCCGCCAGTGGCGCTCCTGTTAGCAGCAACTCAGGGGGGACTAGTTAACTCGCGCAGTTAATACCGAGTGCTTGACCGCAGCCTCTTCAAGCAGGATTTATACGCATCCTTCTGACACCTGCACAGAGCTGACCAGTAGCCTTGGGTGACTGATGTGTTCGGACAGGTTTTAATTTCTGGGAAATATGGGTGTTGGGGGAGGAGATGGCGACTGATGAAGGGAGAGGAGGAGGGAACGGGGAGTTATGGGTATGCAGCTCACTGCTCACTTAAAAGTGTAAGGCACGGCATAGCCAGGGAGACCTATGCAGTGTGAGCTCTCATTTGAACGCCATTAATCTAGGACTGTGATAACTGGACTCAAGGCAGGGGTAACATCCATCTCTGTACCAGCCACTGGCTCTAGGGTTTCGTAAGTAGCAATAGCAAAAACACCATTTTAGGGAATCATTTCTGTTTTAAGAAGCTAGAAAGCACGCTGAGTGCCTACTCAATTAGACTGGACATTGTGTTGAGGGTCTTACATTCCCGCATGTGCCAATCAGCAAAGGGCAGGTTCCTATCCCCATTTTACAGGTGAGGAGCCTGAGGCCCCATGGTGGACATGCCATTCCTGGGAGGGCCCAGAGCCTGATCAGCTCCATGCCGTTGGAAGGCAGAACACATGTCCTGAAGGCTATGCTTTGGCTGGGGAAGTGTGCCAGTGGGGGGCACTAGAGGTGTCTACACCCACACGGCAACAGAGTGGTAGCAAAGGCTGTTCTGTAGGCGCGACAGAGCCTGCGGCTGGAGGAGGTGACACCAGGGTACGCACTACCCCCACTCACTCTTTGTAAAGCCAAATCATCGGGCCTAGAGACCTCAAGGTTAGACCTCACACAACAGAGCCATTGCAGGCCTAACAAGACTCTTCAGTGATGCTCCCGAGGGAGGGCTGTGGCTTCTGACGAGACACTGGTGTCTGGGCCATCTGCATGCCTGTGGTGGGAGGCTCAGAACAGGTATGTGGTGTGGCCAGAATCACGTGTCTGGAAGCCATAACTTTTAACGCTCCAAACATAAGAAGGTGTGCCACTGTGCTGGGCAGCCCTGATGATGCCAGGGAAGCATCTTTCACTGCAGGAGGGTTCTCACATCAGAGATGACACTAGATGTCCCTATAGGATGGGAAGCTGGGGGTCTGGGGGTTGGGTATACCCTGGTCATATTGGTCTGGGCTAATCAGTTTTCAACCCAGTGCTGAATTGGGGACAGGACAATTCCTGTCTCACAGAGTTATCCGGGAGGGTCCACTGAAACCGAGAGCCAACAGCGCTGTGTCCTTCAGCAGCTCTCACAGAGTTCAAGGGTCAGGGAGATGGAACACCTTCCACTCCAAAGTCTTTCTGAAATGCACACAGCCTTGCCTAGGGTGGGCTGTCTGCCCTGCTTCCTGGTGCCACGCAGAAGACTTTCACGATACACACTGACCATTCTGGGTGGAATGGCAGCATTTTGGGTGGAATGCAAATTTTAGATTTGCATCTGGGAGCAGAACCACTACATGCATCTGGGGTCATGAACAAATCGCCAGCACAGAGCTCCCACAGATGAGTGGCTCAGAGGGAGGGGGTACTCACCACAGACGTTTCAAAGAATTCCAGGCCTTGACCCAGTGCCCACGCCTGGGCCTGCGCAGAATCCACCATTCGTCGGCCAGCCAGGTCTGTCTTAGTTCCCACTAAAACACCTGCTCAAAAGGAATAACCACAATACTGTGTTTTGAAGGGGCAGGATGGGAGGTCAGCTGCAGAGAGGGGCGTGTGGCACATCAGGTGACAGAGCTGACCACTTGAGGTGGCATGTACCAGTAGGGATGTCCCCAAGGGCCACAGAGGACAGGCTGGCTTTGCTGTGCACAAGCAGCTCAGCGTTCTCTCGTGGCTTCAACTATATCTATGTTCCTCATCTCCTTAGGGCTGTAAGCGCCAGGCAGGCCTGGACCAAGTTTAGAAGAGCATTTGTGACAATTCCCAGCACATGGAACCAACATCAGACATGGTCATTAATGCTAATCTTGGGCCTGGGCTCGGAGTCAGGGACTCAGGTAATTGAGCGCCGCTCCCAGCTGCCTCAGCTGCGCTAATTTCTCAGTCCGTCTCTGGAGGCTGCTTTCCCGGGCCTCTAATGAGGAGAATTTGTTGATCTCACACAGGGATGAGAAAGACTGATTTAAGGCATGCAGAAGTAACAACAGAGCTGGAATGTAACTTGTGCCCTGCGAACTGGGCAAAATGAGAGATTCCTCCCCGGAGTTCGCGTTCTGGAAACATCAATTCAGAATGCAGCACCCTTCCTTCTTATTATCCAAACTCAGAACACTTCCTGGTGGGTGGCACTGTCTCTCCACCCCAGGCTTAGGGAGGTTTTCATGACCATTAAGAGGCAGAGCAAGGGCACAGTGAAGGATGGTGAGGTCAAAGATTCAGAGATTCAGGCCCCTGTCCTGCTCCCACAGTGGCATGTGCAGTGATCTGAAGCCCCTGAGCTGAAGGGCAGAGGCATTGTTGGGCAGGGGGCTATCCACACTTCCTACCTGGGAGGAAGGTACCCGGAGTCTGGGCCCGAACCTTCTCCAGCCACTTGGTGCAGCTGTTGAAGGACTGCTCATTGGTCACATCATAGACGAGACACAGGACGTTGGGGCTCTCCCACTGAGCAGGGGACAGGAGAAGAACATTTCAGGGATGTAACAGGGATGCTTGGATGTGGGGAAACCTGGCATTCGGGGAGGTGGATGAGAGAGGGCTGTGAGCTGGGAAACTGTCACACTCACAGATAGCCACTGTTCAGCAGAGAACAAATGGAGGCCAGCCTCAGTGGCACTCATGTGGGAAAGGTGAGCTGGAACCTGGGAGAGGGGAATTCCTACCCAGAAGGGAGCAGTGACTGCCAGGCACCTCTTATTGGGGCCGCAAGTGCATCACTGCAATGCCCTGGTGGAAGGGCTGTCTGGGAGAGTCTGCAGCTCAGAGAGGATAACTGGTCTTGGTTGACAGGCTCAAGGGGCGGCCAGGAGAGGAGGACAGGGCTGTTTTCCACCCAGAAGCCCACTCTTGTCCACTATGGTTCTACTAACTCACAAGGCTACAGTGTTCTCCCACACTGCGGGCCTCAAAGGGTGATGCTGGTTCCTTCACTGTCTAGTCCCTGGATGTGTCTGCCTGCATCTTCTTCATAATGGTGGGCTTTTCACTTGGGGGTCTAGTGAAAACTTGGGACCACTTTTGGCTTCTCCCAGGATGTTGCTATCAGCCTTAATGCACCCTACACTAACACCTGGAGGGAGCTCTGTGACGCGCCGGGGTTCCACATGGACTGTCGGTCTAGGAGTCCTTAAATATCCTGCTGCCAGCCCATGATGGGGTCACGGGATGCCCCTGCCTGGGCTGTGGGCTCTCCCTCTGGTTCACAGGCTCTGGGTACCACCTTCCTATACAATTAGGTCCTGCTCTGGCCTTGTGGGCCTGCAGAATCCTATGTTCTGGAGAGCTTGGCAGAACAAGGCCAATGCGATAACCCATCTTGGTGTGGGAGAAGGGGCAGAGCCTATTTTTTGGCTGTAGGCCTCCCTAGAGGAGAAGGAATCAGTGGTTCAGTACTGGGAGGTCAGTGAGGGCTGTAAGACACCCCCCCACCCCCCCCCCCCCCCCCACCCCAGAAGGGGCTATTCAGAAAGAGCAGGCTGGAGAGGGTTTCAAGGACAGATCAGTTCCTGGCACATTCCAGAGCAGGGCGTGGCCATACTGAGCACTCAGGAACACGTACTTGTCAAGGGCCCAAAGCCCCAGCTGGGAGGGATGCCCCTCAAAAGATCCTGCCTGGCTACTTCTGATGGCCCAGGGTATCCTTTCGGGGAGTGCCACTGGAGGAAGGGCTGGGGAGAAGGGGGTGGTGGAGGTGGGCAGGAAGAAACAACACACTACTTGCCAATTTATCCAGCATTTCAGAGAACAGCTCCTTGCCGGCAGAGTCAAAAATGAAGAGTTCCTGGAACCAGAGAAGTGCGTCTCAGAAGTGGACACGGCAAGAGTCAAGTCAAGGTTTTCCCCCAGCTCTCAGTGGACGTGGCTCAGCAGCAGACACAGCAAACATGCCACGTGCATGGGTGCTTTCACAAATGCTCTGCCTCCTGAGTCCCAGAGAGACAGCGAGAACAGCCCAGAGTGCCCGAAGGGCACAGGCATAGCTTCCACCCACCTGGCATCGTGACCTGGCTCACCTTTCCCAACCCCAAGCACAAACATCGCAGGGCCAGGCTGACTGCCCACCTGGCGGGCCAGAACACTGAGCAGGCTGACAAGTGTGCTGGTGTCCAGAAGGCCACTCTGTACTCTGTTAACCAAATGGATTCTCAGATCACATAAGGATTCTTGATAAAGGAGGTCACGGTGGAAGCCTGGGGACGGGTGCGTAAAGTAGGGCAGCCTGTCACCGCTCTGCGATGGTGAACGCGTACTCTGGACACAAGGCACCCAGCCTTCCCAGCCCAGGTGAAAACCGTCCACAATGCTGCTGCTTGAGCCGAGTCCCCGGAGCTACCTGAGCCCCCTCCTGGTACAGTCCCCTCTGCCTGGCTCTGAACCCCCGGCAGGCAGCGCTGTCTGCTCCATGGCCTGCCCTGTACAGTGGCTCCAGTCTCAGGCTTTCTTGTGGTATCAGGAATGCCCGTGTCTTTCATTTTGCTCAGGGTTCTCCTTAAGGACCTGGTGAGTGCTACAGACCCTCCCTCTGGGAGTAGCTACACAAACATGGCATTGTGCCCTTCACCCTCAAGAGTTGTGGGGTCTCTGGAGGGATCCTGTTAAGAACTCAGACAAAAGATACTAAGTTCTTTTGGTAAGGCCTACGTCCCAGTCCTCCTCTCCCTCCTCAGGCCCTCTCTCAAAGACGCCCTTTGTTATTGCTCCATGTTCCTTACAGGGAGGATCCCCTGGGCCACAGGAGCCCCAAGTGCCCTGGCTTCAGACCGCCACTCACCACACTGTCATTTGTGTCAAGAACTGGCACTGTCTTCACCACCAAATCCACACCTGTTGTCTGCAGGGGACACCAAGATCATGGGCATTAGAGGGCCCCACAGTGGGGTGGTCCAAAACAAGGCAAGACCCCACCTCCCTGCAGAAAAATCCCAGCCAAGCAGAAGTCAGAGGCCCTGACAACCTCCCACTCCCAGAACTCCACTGTTCCTGGCAACTGTGGCACCCTGGCCAGTCTGCTCAGGACACAGTCCTTTACTGGTCTTTTCTTAGGCCTCTTAGGACAGCATCTGGGGATTTTGCTAAGTCATTCTCTCATGGTTAACGGTCATGTTTCTTTACATTATGACCAGGTGGGGACTCTCCAGCCCCAGCTTACCAGAGTGTAGTTCTTCTGGAAATGGGTTCCGTCGCTGCGGAACATCTGCACCAGGGCTGTCTTGCCTACAGCTGGATCTCCTGAAGCCAGAGCAGAGGGACAGATATCACTCGGGTCCCATCAGGCATGAGAGCCTCCTCCTACTCTAGAGGGCTGGACACGAAACCAGAAACTTCGCTGAGTTTTCAGATCATATGTCTGCTCTCATGACAAGCAGGGAGGTAGCCAGCAGGGTAAGTGGTCCAGGAGATCCATCTTTAGAGCTTACCAAGGCCAGAATACATCTTTATACACCTCACAGCCCTGTCAACCAGAATGACCTAGCAGGTAACAGGGGTTAAGGAGGGCTCCAGAGCCCTGGCAACAGAAGTGACACTCTTCCACCAAAGCACACCCCATGGGAAAACCTGTCACTTTCAAACTCCAATTTACTCTACAGTCTGGCTAGCAAAAAGGAGTGAGCAGCCAACTCGTGACCCTACCTGGCCAAGCCACTGCCTGCATTCTTACCTACACTGACAGTTAAGATGTCCAGAGGTTGCCTTCGCTCTGTGAAAACTTATTTTCTTCAGCTTATTTTTTTATTAACATTTCTTCTTTTATTTTATATACCGATCAGTTTCCCCTCCTTCCGCTCCTTCTCCACCCCCCCCCCTCTCATCATCTATTTCCTCCCTATCTACCCACTTCTCCTGTCTCCACTCAGAAAGGAGCAGGACTCCCATGGGCTTGAACACAGCATGGCACATCGAGTTGAGGTAGGACGGAGCTCCTACCACAAGGTGATCCAGCATGGAGAACAGGTTCCCAAAATCCGGCTAAGCACCAGGGACAGGCCCTGATCTCATTTCTAGGAGCCTGACAAACAGACCAAGCTACACAACTGTCACTCACATGCAAAGGGTCTAGGTCGCCCCATGCTGGCTCCCTAACTGGTGGTCCAGAGTCCATGTGCTCCCACAATCTCAGATCAGCTGTCTCTGTTGCTTCCTCCATTTGACCTTGGTGAAAACTAATTTTTTTTTTCCAAGACAGGGTTTCTCTGTGTAGTCCTGGCTGCCCTGGAACTCGCTTTGTAGGCCAGGCTGGCCTCGAACTCACTGAGCTCTGCCTGCCTCTGCCTCCCACGTACTGGCATTAGAGGTGTGCACTATCATCACCCAGCGAAAACCCATTTTCAAGTGATGTACTTCATTTCATTGTGCTAGGTGAATGCTGAGCCACGGACTTAGGAGCACCCCCACCACCACCACCACCTCAACCCTGCATCCGCAGACATATCCTATAGTCACCTGGCCAAGCTGGGCTGAGCCCTTCCCAGTCTTTGTTCAAACAGCTCCAGGAATTCACACATCATAAAGGTTCCTTGTCAGTTTTCAGGCCTAGGTCTGAGTCTTTTGCACCATAAAAGGGAGCAGTTTCATAGTGAGTTCTTCCGGTTCTGTCACAGCGATGGCCCAGGGTGCCCTGCCCCCTCCACTCTTCCACCTGTTGCCTTGACCCCTGTTGATCTGCTGTTTTACACATGCAGGGTTATCTTTCCCATTGTCCAGGTGTTACCAGGCACCTGCTTTCTGCGAGCTCATGTCCCTGAGGGTCAGGGACATCACCAGCACCCATCCCAGCATTTGGGACAATCTCTGTCTTCAGTCCCTTTGACAGTGGCTTCCTCTGTCTGCCTTCTCCAGCCTGCAGCCCGGGACACTGTTCCCTTTTGACTCCTCCCACCTGTCATTTTCTCTCCTGAGACAATTACATGACAATTGGTGTCTCGAGGTAGGAGATTTCTGTTAGGGCCGAGTGAGTCATTCAGGACATGATTTCCTGCCATGGGTAGTCCTCGCCTCACAGCCCCTCCCTCTCATGCCTTCCCTCCCGTGTTGCACCCCCTACTGAAGTCACGGGTAAAGACAGCTTGTAGAAGCGAGGTACCCCTCTAGGATTTTGATGCTGCCTTGGTTTACTAGGCTGATCTGGCTGTGCATCCCAAATGCCACCTCGAGGCTCTTTGCACCATGGCCTCTCAGGGTCTGTGGGTCCCACCTACCCAGGGCAGACAGCCTAGCGATTCTTCCCCATGCCTCGTTGAGAGCCCAGAAGGTAGTCAGTCACTAGCCTGACTCTCATTCTGTTCCTAAACCTGGGAGGAAATTGGCTCTTTCTCCCTGGGAAATTCCCCCACAGATTGGTTTTGGTTGATTTCGCGAGTCTTTCTGCTGACTGCCAGTCACCAGGGCTGGCAGCGAAGTTCCTGTGTGGGCTAGGAGGGATCCGAGCATGGTGAGGCGGGGGAGCTGATAAACATATTCTCAGAGCAACAGGATGACAAGTGAAAATGCAGACAAACGCAGCTGAGAAGCAGGGCATCCGAGGGAAGGAGCATGAGAAACCTCGAGAGCCTGTGAGCCCACATGGCTGTAGGGTGCAGGGTTCCACGAAGCCCTGGCCAGGGCTGGAAGACCGGATTGCCATGGGAAGGTACCATGGGAGGCTACCCATGACCTCATAGCTGACTGCCAAGTCCAGCGACCTCTCCTGGGTCCTGGGTTCTCACTCGTGAACTCTAGATGGAGTGCTGACCTGAAACAACTCCCTATTCCCCTACCCTGTGGTGACCCTGCATGGGCTCTGTTCTGTCACCACTATCTGCTCCTCTGCCCCCTGCCTGCCTTAACCTCTTCTTCAGTCTCCCAAAAGTGAGCCCTGCTGGGTCATCCTCAATGCTCTGACCCTGGCTCTTCTGCCTCAGCTCCCCCTGCATCCCTCATTTTAGATTGGATTAAGCCCAGGAATTCATGCATGTAAGGCAAGGGGTCTACTACTGAGCCCTAGCCCCAGCCCTGGCTTCTCTCATCCCTTGGCCCTTGCGGTCCTAGGTTGACTGTGCCTCCAGCCATTGTGGGGCTTTCACTGTCCTCTGCAGTTTGCTCGCCCACAGCCAAGCCCACGTCTCACCACAGACCTGAGTGACCTCTCCATCTACCCCAGTCTTCCCGCTCATCACACCACCCCATATCCAGCCTCCTTGTCCCAGGTTACGAACACCACCACCTCCTGCATCCCACTGTCTTCTTCCTGGCTCTTCTATTCTGGGCTGTCTCTCAAGCCTACCCCCACCACCCACAGCTGTCCCAGGAGCTCATACATCCTCTGCAGGACTGAGAACTCCCTCTCTGAGCTTTTCTCTGCTCAGCCCTGGAGACGACGATCCCTGCACCTGACTACCCCAGTGTCCTTGCCTCTGAGAGGCTGATTTGTCACCTACGTGACGGTCACTGCTGAGGAGTGTAGTTGTCACCAGGACAAAGACCCCACATTTGGCTTAAACCTGCTGTGAGGTCTCAAAACACAGAAATGGGCTGGGGGCATCTGACTCTGAAGCTGAACTGAGTCCCCTGTCAGAGGAAACAGGTTCTGGGGACAATGTGGCATGTGGTGACATTGCCTTAGGTTTGATGGAACTGAATGCTGTACCAGCCAGGCAGTGTGCCCGTCCCCCCCACCCCCAGAGGCCTGCACCTAGCTCCAAGGGGTCCTTCGAACTCGGCACCACTGCCGTGTGTCACAGAGCTTCTGCTGGCTGCCTCTGTCTTCACAGAACTGATGCTGCCATTACCTTTCCCCGACTCTCCTTGCCGCCAACTGCATCCCAACCCCATCAGAGTCACAGAACAGAATGTCCCTGAGTCCCCTCCTTCACCCACAGCAGGCATCCACAGCTCTCTTCGGTCAACTTCTAGCTGACCGCCCAACCATCTCCAATGGTCCCTTATAGAAAATCTGGATGTACATACAATGCTTGTCCTTTTGTTCCCTGGACATGTTCCAGTCCCCTCTCCAATCCAAGTCCAAATCCTGTCCTTTCTAGGCAGATCTCAATTGGCTTCTTGTGTGGCCTCTGAGGTCACCTGTCCCTCTGCTGTCTTTACCAGGGTGGTTATCCGACCAGATTCGTAGCAATGGAACGGATGCCAGGGCTACACTCCAGGGAAGCATGACTATTGCCCCACATCCCAAGAGGTTCATCACCAAAGGGGCAAAGATGTGGGGCCAGACCCCAGCTCCACACTAACTGTGTGATATCAGGTCAGGTAGGTTAAGCTCTCTGTGCCCCCTTTGTTACATCTGTAAACTAGGCTAACGACGAACGGTACCTACTTCATAGAATTGCTAGAGCATTAATGAGCCAGCGTGTCCCCTGCCTGGTACACAGTGTTATTTGTTAAACAGATGAAGCACAGGTGCATGGCCACTGTGCCTTTTTATCTCCCACCATCTCAAGCCACAGAAGCTGTAGAGTGAAGACCAGGTTGGAGTGGAGGCCAGAAGCCACTGCTGACTTTGGCTGGGGCTGGAACCATGTGGCGGGCACAGTACCTGGGTACAGTACCTGGGTCTGGACCCAGGGCAAGCATCTTCATAGTATGGGTCCTGCCTGCCTCATCTTACATGAGGATGACCGAGGGCTGGCTGGTGGCTGTGAGGACTCGCGAGAGACTTGCACCGAGGGTGTGACATGGGGTCAGCACATAGCAAGTCTCAGGAGAGTGGCTTATGACAAGAGCTTCTTGGTTTTTGAGAGCTCACCAGCTAAAGAGAAATGAGCAAAGAACAGCAGGCTGAGCCGCCCCCACTTAAAAAAAGAAAGTTAACTTTAGAAAAACGAAGATGTCCCTAACTTACCCATGCAGAAGCTGAACACTGTCCAAGGCAACAGAGCCGGGGAGAGGACTGACCAACGTCCTTTGGTTACACAACACTGCCTCCTCTGGCTCTCTGAGAACCAGAGGCGCTCTGGAGAGCCAGGGTTCCTTTGCTGCAATAGGGCCTGGGTCAGGGCTGTCACTCATCTTTCTGTGTGACCCTTTTATTTTCAAATTAGAAAAGCCATCAAGGGAACTATCCCCTACTCTCAGTCTGTAGGATAAAGATCCAAAGACACTCCCCCACCCCCATGTTAATTTCTTGATTACAGAGAAGAATCTTGGGCTGGGTGTGTCAGGTTAGTTAAGGGGAAGGCGCACCCCTAAAGGTGGGTGGCATCATTTTACACGCTGGCGCCCCCAACTGGAGTAAAAGGGGACAGTATGCTGAGCAGCAGTGCTCGTGGCTCCGCCCAGACTGGACGCAATGCGACCAGCCAGCCACTGGCCCTTACCACTGTGCCTTTCCCACCATGAGGGGCTGTCCCCCCAAACCATGAGCCCCAATAAGTTCTTCATCCTTTAAGATGCTGCCTGTCAAGTTTGTTGTCATAACAAGAAAAGTAGCCAACCCGGCCAACCCAAGAACAGAGATCTGGAGTCAGGTGAACTGGGAATTCTGTGTATGACCTTCACTTGGGGTTCACCCCAGTGCCCCTAACACCACTCAGTGCCCCGGTAATATCAGGACCACATGGAAAATACTCTGCTGTGCTGTGGTAGTGAATGGAATACAGGTGCCTGGCACGCGGTGCCTGCGGGGCTGCTGCTCACCAGTCTACAAGCTAAGCAAATGGTCGTCTCAATGTTCGGACTGATCCGAGGCAAACCCACCGGGGCGGGTACCACAAACCCGCTCACTCTGCACGGATCTAGTTAATACTCATCCATGCTCGAGGCATTGTGTGGGCTATTTCCATGTCAGTCAACAATAACAAGATTCTTACTTCTGGGGAAACTCCAAGTTCAGGCTCTCAGCTGGACAACACTGTAACCCATTTCACCCCACCCCACCCCCATCTTCCTGGTTGGGGGGGGGACAGCGTAAATGAAGGGAACTTTGTGGGGCCAGGATCACTGACGCCTAGCTTTGGAGTACAGTCCGTGTTTGTACTATAAGTCTACTATCTGATGATAGTGGCCTCAAAATATGAGAGGGAGACAGGGGAGAGGGAATAATTTCCCCCCGCTTTCTGAAATCTGGCTGTTGGGTCACTGCAGGCATTCCTATGGGAGATAGACATTGGACGCAATCGTGAACCAAAACTGCCTGAGTTAGGACGGCTTAGGCCCCCAGGAACACACGTTCGAGAGTATTTACTACTCACCTGCCAGGATGCATTTGGCTGCTAGCTTCACCATGGTAACCAGGCACTAGCAGGGATGGAGTTGGGGGTGAAAGAGGGTTAGGACTGGGGGCAGCTGATCCCAGGGCCTGAGACCGCGATGGTTGGAGGCACGAGCGCTAGGGTTGGGTGGACATTGGGTGGGCCTCAAGGTCCCAGGCAGCCTGCAGAAGTGCTGGCGGGGCGGGGTGGAGCGGAACCCGCTCCTAGCCCAGCCTTCCAGTCCAGGCCCCTGCCGTAGAGTTGGGACACAAACGACTAGTCCCACTGGTCCCAAGAGTCGCGCCAAACAGGCTCCTGGCAACCATCACCAATCCGCCTCCTCCCTCCATGTGGTCCTCCGATTGGTTGCTGTCAAACGCCCGGCGGCTTCAGAGATCCAATAGAAGAAGGAGGTGGGGAAAAACGTCTTCCTTCGCCGGACGATGCGGGCAGAGGTTTCTGCCTTGAACTGCTCTCAGCTTGGCCAATGGCTTCAGACGATGTCAATCACCGCTGCACGCCTCCGAGGATGCGGCTGGAGGCGGGTATTAGTGAAGCTTTCTGATTGGCCAGAGCATGGCTTGAACCATCGCGAAGAGTTCAGGGTTCTCTTCACCCCTGTCTTCCTGGGAATGGGTTCGCCCGCGTGGGGCGGGGCGACGCCACTAGATCGGCGCCTGAGCAGTGGAGGAAGCCGCAGTCTCCAGAGCCCGGGCCTGATGGTTTCTACATCAGACCCCAGGTTCAATGGAGCGTCCACAGATCTAGCCCCTGTCTTTTATGTCCAGAAACAAAATGTCATCTTTGAAGCCCAAGTGTGTTATGCGCCTTAAAACCCAAAATAGCGGGAAGGGCAGGATGCGGAATGTTGAGGAAGTTACAGTGTAGAGAAGAGTAGGAAGGCCCGCTGTGCTTTAAACAGGGGGCGACTGCAGACAGCACCTTTGCCTTTCACCTTCCAGAAGCCGGACAGGAGGAAGAATCTTCACAAAAAAATGATAAATGTTTGGGTAGAGACATTTGCCCGGATGGAAAGTCATACAATGTATACATATGTAAATACATACAGATTTGTTATAATGTATCAGCTAAACTAAATTAAAATATAAAATCTAAATTAGGCGCGATTTGAATGGATGGGAGAACTTGCCAACATGACTGAGCGTATTTGTACTTCTCAGTCTGCTTGCTTCCTCTGTTGTGGATAAAAGGATGCCATCCCGATGTTGCCCCTCATGAGGGAGGGTTGGTAAACGCCATCTGGTTTTTCTGGGAGCCTCTCTTGCTTTGTCACTAAGAGGTAGGGTGTGACTGGGCAAGTCACCTCACCTCCAGACCTCAGAAGTAGATAGAAACCAAGAGACAAACAAGTGTCTGTGTATTGGGCTTTTGTTGCTAGGACAAAACACCAGAGAGAAACAATTTACACCAGGAAAGGTTTGGCCTGGTCGCTTGGTTGAACATCATAACCAGGGTAGCATATAAGCAGTTAGCCCCTCATGCTGAGAGAGGGAGAAAGTGCTCCAATGATGCACCCCAAAGACACACTCTCTTTCAACTAGATTCCATTTCCCTTTCACCACCCAGTGGCCCATCACATTAGGAAGCCACCAACGGATCGATCCCCTGATGAAGTCAGAGCTCTGGTCATCTAGTCACTTCCCCCAAAAGCCTTAGTTCTGATCACTCCTGCTCTGGGAGCCAGGCTCTCAACACACAAGTCTTTGTGGTGGTGGTGGTAGTGGTGTGTGTGTGTGTGTGGCGGGGGAGCATGTTTCCACCCATCCACCCCATCGTGGCTCAGCATTACTACTGCAGGTTGGCCAGAGCTCTGCACCCCGCTGATCTCAGTTTTCGCTGGGTCCCGCGGTGATGGCTGATACTTAGAAGGGGAAGACCTGTCTGTCTGAAAAGGTGCCTGTGCCCTGAGGAACTCTGGGAGTTATCACTGCCTGAGAGCTATCCAGGCTCCCGTATGAGACTCCTATAAACTCATTGGTGTGTCGTGCTGGCTGTGGGTAGGGTTGTTTCCTGGTCTGTCTGTCCGGTCTGGTGGAGAGGCATGTCTCCTGGAAAAGTCACGTAGCACCTTCTTTGAGGAATGCATCCTCTAGATATTTAGAGACTACTTATGAAGCACGGAGTAGTGAGTGGGGCCGAGCTACTTAGCCCAGCTGGGAGGCAGGCAATTAAGGAGATAATCCATAGCTATTTGGAATCAGTGTTGGGTAAAGGGGGATTTGGGGCAGGACCAGCAGGTGCCCCCATGTTGTGACCTATGTGACCACAGGGCTATTTCAATGTATATTTGAGCACCCACTCTTAGGCAGTGCCAGGGTTTCTTTATTTTTGTTTGGGCATTGTACTGTTCCTCCAACGCCTCGAGAACATTCCTACCTCAGGGTCTTTGCACTTAATATTCCTAGCATGGCTGTAGGACTCTCTCCCTTAGCGACCTTCAGATAGCTGTCCCAGTGGCATGTCCCTAGGGGTCCATACCTAGACATCCACTTGAAAGATTCTCCTTCCATCTGACTGCCTATCTCCTTCCTTACTGCACTGTCTTCCTGTATAGGATGTGCCATGAGGCTTTATAGAATTCTCCACTTGAAGGTCAACTTCCTGAGAAAAGACAAAATATTTTTGGGCTCTTGCCCCTAGGACAGTCTCCAGCATGGTGAGATACTCAGTAGGGATTTTTTGTGGGGATGTCTGAGATAGGGTTTCTCTGTATCTTTGGAGCCTGCCCTGGAACTCACTCAGTAGACCAGGCTGTCCTCGAACTTGCAGAGATCCCCTTGCCTCTGCCTCCTGAGTGCTGGGATCAAAGGTGTGTGCCACCACCACCTGGTTTCAGTGGGTGTTTTTAAGGAGACATATCTCATAGGATTTACCCTTCTGGCAATTTGATGAGCGTTGGTTGCTTTTTTTATTTATTCTTTATTTTTTGTGATATTGGGGTTTGAATCCAGGGCTTCGTGCCCACTAGAAGGGCTCCACCACTGAGCCACAGCCCTAGCCAACAAGCCCCCATCCTTGGGCACCAGTCCTCACCCAGGTAATGTTGCCACTGGGAAGGGTACAGCAATCACTCCCATGGGGGGTAGTTTGGTCCCGATTCCTCCCTCTCCCCTGACTGTTCTCTAATCTGGAGCTGAGTATTCTCTGCTAAACAGGAAGGGTTAACAGTGCTGCTCCCAAAGCCGGCTGCTGCTGCTGAAGTGGGGGCTTTGCATGGAGGGTTCTTCTTGAGAGTGGATCACAGAGGCAGCTGCTGGCACATTGTTCCCAAGGACCTTCGGATCATTCTGGGGTCACTGAACTCCTGACAGCCTAGACAGCAGCTTGCATGAGCTGCAGCATAAAGCCAGTCAGTGACAGCTGCCACACACTGTGCAAGAGGCATGGGCTGATCAGGCCCACTGCATAGTCCAGGTTCCTCCATCAACACACTGTGAACAGCCCCGGGTCCTCCCTCGGTCTGGATGACACTGGAGCCCCTTTAAATGCATAATGTAGTAGCAAAATTGTTGGGTACAAGACAGACTATTGGGAGGAGGGATGAGTATGGAGGGGTATCTTGCACAGTTTAGACTGGACCTTGGGAAGAATGACTTCTCTTTTACTCTGATGCATGCCTGTCTAGCGTAGTGCTGAGCAGAGATCGCCTGGTCTCTGCATCTTGTGGGTGTAGATCAGGGCTTCTCCTGGGCACAGCTGATATTTTAATATGGGGAACTTTTGTTTGGAATGGGGAGCTACCATATACTTTGTGAGATTTTTTTTTCTTTCCCCAGCATCTCTGGCCCACTAGCTATTCAAATCATCACCCTCTGCAGACAACAGCAAAAGGTCCAAATATATGGCCAAATATCCCCTTGGGGTCAAGCTCTTCTGTAAAGAGGAACTGCAGACTTAGGGCTAAAATGGAAATCCAAGGTCTTGGGACCAGACTGCCCAGCTTTGATTTCTCTCTGCTTGCCCCTCAAGTCTTGGAAACTCAGTTGTTATCCTACCTGCTCCCATGACAATACATACAACAGGGAAGGTCGTAAACACTAGCTCTGACACACAGCCTGGGCCATGGTGAGTCTCCCCAGGGGTGTTGAATGAGGCTGTGGCAGTGCCTGCTTTACAATTGGCTGTAAGGCAAGGCACCACATCTGGCGTGAAGCTTCCTGTGGCAATGACCTTTGAGGTTTGTGTGCCTGCCACTCGAGCGGGCCTGCTTGTTTGTGTCTCTGCTGCTGCAATGCTTGGCAGTGGACATCTCAATAAAGGGCAGAAACTGCGGGACTGACTCACCTCCCCTGTGTTCTGAATGCAAAGTGGAAGAGCCCAGAACTGTGTGCTGTGCCTGCCAGGCAGGCTGCCATGTGCTGATTTGGTCAGCAGGGGGCGGCAGTCGCTGGGGAAAATGCCAGCCACAGACAGGTGCCAAGCGCTCTTGGCTTTGCATGGACTTCAGGGATTCTTTTATTCAAAGTTGAGCCAATCACCTCTCCAGAGGCACTCAAGGCCTCCTTTAACGGCCCTTTGGCAGCTCATCTGTGAACGCCAAGAGGTGCTTTTCCAGAACGGTCTATGTTCTCTGTGTCTTGTCCTTTCCTGGGTGGATGAGGCACTAGGAGGCTGGTGGTGGATGGATAACTCAATCGGCTCTCCCTGGAGGCTCATGGCTTTGAGCACACCCCAGAGCGTGCTCTCTTCCTGTGCTCTGCACATAAAGCTTGTGTCGCTGTGTTCAGAGGGTTCAAATAGCACAGATGGCTTAGTTTGACAGAGACCAAACTCCACAAGAACAACGTAAGCTGCTCTTTAGTGCATCCCCCCCCGCCCCCGTCTACCTTTGTGATACCCTCACCTCCCATAATGCCTTGGGAATGGAGGACCCACCACCCTGCTCAGACTGGCCATTGCCCATTGCCTACAACTACTTGGACGCTATCTTAGTCTGTTCTTCCGCGCCCTAAAAACAGCACAAACCCCCGTTCTTTCAAGCTTTCTTAAGTTCTGCTGTTGACTTCTTCTGTCCCATTTCCACTCAGCGGCCAGTGCCATCCTTAGACATTTGTAGGGTCAGTGAGAGGGCTGGGAAGGTAAAGGCACTTGCTGCCAAGCCTGGTGATACTGAGTGTGATCTCTGGGATCTATATGATGGGAGGGGAGAACCGCCTTCCTCCACAGACTGTCCTGTGTCCTCTCTACAGGCACCTTGTGGTCCAGATCTCAGTGTTTCACTCTGTCTGGGCTTGTCGGCTTCCAGCTTCCTGGGACCAGCAGTCTCGACCGTGCATGTGCTGGCCCAGGACCTTTACCCTCTATGTCCTGGAGTTGGGTGAGGTAGGGGGATGATTGGAGCCTCCAGAAAATTCCAGAGCTCTTCATCTATGAGATCCCACGATAACATCTGCCACATTCTGTACAAGGAACTAGTGAGACAGAAGACCCTTCAAACCTCCCAGCTTACACCTTCTGAGGCCAAGTGCCCCAAAGGGATGTCTCTGGCTCGCCCATTCTCTCAGGTGGCAGAGGA